ACACTAGCAGCCATTATTCCAGCTCTAGAGCAAGAAGATTGATTTCCAGCCCTCAACCTACAAGATGTGCGCATGGATTGTCATGGGTTAGCTACATGATTTTATTATGATGTGATTTTGGCAAAATAATAAAGTTAGTGTTCTGCATTTTTTGTAATTGTAAAAAAAAAAAAAAAAAAAAACCTAGGGAATTTTTCATTGTTTATTTTCCAAACATTAAAACTGGGATGAAATCAGGTTAAAATAAAACAATTGAAAAATCGGGGGGAGGGGGGAGAACAAAAACAAAACTTTTGTAATATACACATTTTACTACAGTATAATTGAAACTTTTTTTTTAATGTACAAAGGTATATTTTTTTCTCTCTCAGCTAGTAGTTTTTCCAGAAATCCTAGTTTTTGCGTACGCTTCCATAATTTTCTTCAAAGTATCCTCACTCATGTTGAGCCTTGTGCTGTCTTGGAGGTAGTCCAACTTTGAAAATAAGTGCTCTGCATCAGTAGATCCAGGGGGTACACTCAAAGCTCGCCATGCCACTTTGCTGAAATTGGGAAGTGTCTTGATGACTGATGCAAAAAGCCAGCACATCCAGTTTCATATTGTCAGGGTTAGATAAGTTCATGTCAGTAGTAAATTCTCCTTTCAGATTTGAAATTTCACCTTTAGTGGCAAATGGTTGAAACACTTGGCATAACTGTCATAGTCTGCTGCAAAATTCACTTTGAGGAAGAGGTCGAAAACCTGGATGACATTCCAAAAAGAATCTACAGCACCAAATACGTGGGGGTTCAGATTACGGGTCACAGTAGTCTCCGATTTCTCACTGAGTGTTGTTTTGAATGCTTTTTTGGTTTTCGTGTTGTGGGGTTGGAAGGCTTTCCAGAAACAGCTGGGTTTTCTTGCAGTATGTTTCTCTTACAGCTTTAGTGCTCAGTTCAGCTGAGATTTTGGTTGTCAGGATCCGGTAAATGTCTGTATTGGCAAACATGTTGGCAGTAGCTGGAGAAAACTCCATTATTTTACCTTGATGCACAGAATCTGGCGGTCATTTTGGTTATTTGACAGTCTCTTCAGAGTTTTTGCTTTGCTTTTGTTTTGCTAGAACAACAACAAACAAACAAACTCACGATGACCTAGGAGACATATTAGCACAGTCCACATGTTATTTACATGACAGGCAGCGAAATACAAGCTCATCCACTGATGTGGCACAACAAGGGTAGGTAATCGGCATCCAGCTCTGCACTCATCTCACACTGTGTAAAACAAAGCCTTCTACTTGTTTTCATGCTTGAAAATGGTCCCGAATCCAATGATGCAAGATTTCATGTCTTTCATTTCTTCTGTAGCAGTAGCTGTTGACAGGGCAATGTTAATCAGATGAGCAGGACAGCTCATACATAGCAGCTCCAGTTTCTGATTGAGTTTAATCTCCCATGCAAATTTAGCCATGTAGGAAGCAGAATCTGTGTGTGTTGTGGCCACGTTTTCCCAAGTTAGTTGGTACATCTCAAACATGTCAGTTATTGCTGCGTTGACAAAACTAGTGTCAACAGAGGGGATGAATGTCACATCAGCACAAAACAATGCAGGTTTATTTGCTTTGAAATAAAAAAACAAAAACAAAAGGCCAAGAATTGGACAGTCTTCAAAGCATCGGGAGACTTGTCAAAAATCAGACTAGACACCAGATTTCCATCAATTCGTTCTATCAGTTTGGATACTGAAGCATTGTCATTTTCTTTCAGATACTTACCAGTGAGCTTGTCTGCATTAGGAAGGGTTTTTGCTGCTGGTCTGTATTGTCATACAAAGTCACCAATAGGCCGCTCTGCAATTAACAGCGGTTGTCTGGTGAAACACAGAGCACGTACAAATTCATTGAGGCCTGGTCTACACTACGGGATTAATTCGGATTTAGCAGCGTTAATCCGAATTAACCCTTCACCCGTCCACACTACAGAGCCAGTTAATTCGAATTAAAGTTAGTGGGGCCGCACACCACCGAATTAGGAGTAGAGCCTAAATCGATTTTGTTAATTCGAATTAGGGTTAGTGTGGCCGCACACCACCGAATTACTGTGTTTAAGTTAATGGGGTAGTGTGGCCGCACACCACCGAATTAATGTGGTTAAAAACCGAATTAAGGTGCTTAGTGTGGCCGCGCACAATCGAATTTATACAACCTGTTTCCCAAATTCGAATTATCTAAATTCGGATTAATCCTGTAGTGTAGACATACCCTGACACAATCGTGCTGTGTCCTCTCTTTCATTAAAGCCCTGGTGAAAGCTACTGATACTGTTTATCCCGAAGCTCACTTTCTTCTTTAATCTTCTTGTGTTGCTTGTGTGAGGGGAAATTAACAGGACATAAAACAAGTTCCTTTATTCTGTCAGCGCGAGGACTGACCTCAGTGCTGCAGTACTTGCAGTGCAGTGCATCCTCTTCGTTCCCATCTTTACTTTTCTTGAAAATTTCTGAGCACTGATTTGCTTGCTGGTATTCAGGCATAGGTTTGCGTTTTCGCCCCATGTTTACCTTTTTACCTTATCTAAGTCCCTGGGGCTCTGTGTGCTGGTAGTTCAGGGAGAAGCACACTGTCCCTGGTGGGAAGGGGGAGCCAAGGGCAGATTCAGAGTCTGCTGGGCAACCAAGAGGGAGAGAGGAGAGACACTATGTAGAACAACAGGGGCCCCTGTTGGTTTTGGTAAGGATTGCAGGCAGGCCAGCTCAGAGGAAGGGGCAGAGTGAAATGATTGACAAGGGAAAGCCCAGAAGAAGAGCTAGCCTGACAATAGGGTGTGAGATGGCCTCCCCTGGGGGGACTGGAGAGGGGAGAAGCCATTTTGGGAGTAGTCTGGAGCCAGCCACAGAAAGAGCAGAACTGGATGTGTGGGGATCCAGAAGAACCCAGGCCCATCCATCCAACCCCGTAAAGAGATTGGCACTAAAGGATGTATCTGGGTGGATAGGGGGCAGTACATATCTTTATCTGTGGAGGATTGATTGTTTAAATTCAGTGCTACGCTAACCAGAAGCAAAGAAATAGGCAGGTAATGTCTCCTTGTGAGCCAATCATAGCATGATATTAATGTTAGTATTTTCCGTTCTGTTTTGTACACTGTGGAACTGCTTCAATCTCAGTGTTTCAGAACACAACAATCATGTAAAGCATTAGTGTTTAACAAAAATAAGTACTCAAAAAATACTGAGTGGATTGATAAACAGGTGTAAATCGGTAAAAATCGAACTTCTTTAATAAAAAAACCTGGTCATTCATTAGTGAAAATTGGTAAAAACTGAAAATGCATAACACTAAAAGTGGAGCTAGTGGTCAACTTCTGCTACCATTGTTGCAACTTACAGGATGCAGTTAATTCCTTACGCGGTTTTAGTCATCAGTGTCTGAACAGGTCTCCACCACAGAACTCTGCTGGCTCAATTCTGAGCTTGGCAACAACTAAAAGAGCAATGGCAGCCTGATATTATCATATCCAGTTAAGTAAGACTTTTACTGAAGGAGGAGTTTGTAGATATTCATAAGCATTAATCATGCTGTATGTATGCCTCTAACCTTGAGTAGGAGCAATATTCTTTAAGGAAGTATAACTTCTGAAAGTGCACATTGTATATAAATATGTACGTTTGTGTTTCTTGAAGTGCACACAGATATCAAGAGCGTGATTCCTCAGTTTAATAACCACAAATCCAGCAAGCCATCTGACAATTCTCTAATTTTTCACTCAATCCTATGAAATTAATTACAGGAATTTTTACTGCATTGTCTCAAAGGTCGAAGAGATCATCATGAAGTGATGAACAGCTCCATTTTCTGCTCTCTGACTATTATGAACCTTTGAGTAGATGGGAAGCATTTTATCACTTTTACTCATAAACAGGTGACAGCAATCTAATCTTCACCTTCCTGGACAAGTTATTTTTTCTTTCTTTTCCAATCCCTCCCTTCTCCCAATCTGGTTAACAGGAAGAACTGGTAGCTATTTAAAACACTGGCTGAAAATGTGTGGTTTGTAGCAAATGTTTGTCAAACCAAGAGTTGAAAATCAGTCTCTGCACTCTTGTGTGAATTACTGCCAATTCTCAATAACCCAGTCATTCAAGAGTTCTACTTATCTAGATCTCTTTACAGAATGTATTTTTTTATTGTTGTACAAATCATTTGCAAGTTTTTCCATGTTGACTATTAAACTTTCATTGTTATGCATAGACTTGGTTACACTGTAGAAGTAGAATGAAAGATGCCTTCTTCCTCAGCCCTGTAAATATTATTTTTCCTTCTAAGAATAAGATCCTTCTGTTTTGTGGTAATACAATGTGAGGAATATGTTAATATAAAAACCTTCTAGTTCATGCACTTCCTTATTCCTGAATGTACAATAGCGGCCGTGTTTTTTCTTTTTATGTCTAAGACCATTTGTATGTCACTTTACCCCACAAGAGCTGGCAACATTGAATTTTGGTTGAGGTCTGCCTTTGTTAATTCTGGGAGGAACACTTCTGATTTCAATTCAATGGCCTTCCCTGTTAATCTGTTCAAAAAGGATTGCTTAGCCTAAAAATAATTCTTTTTAATTACACTCTAAGTGCCAGTCTCAAGGAAACAAGTTGATATCTGGGTAAGGATTGGTAATGGGGGTAGAAATCATTTTATTCTAGGTCAATAGTACAAAAGGACTAGTAGAGAATAGTGGTAGATGTGGTGGTGTCACTGTCCCTTTTTGTATGTTTTCTGTGATTAAATAGGTTTTCCTTGTCAATACTGTGAATCGGACACCTTCCTTGAGCCCTAAGAAAAAACATGTAGATAACAGTTGATTTCCTTCCCTCTCCCTGTGCTTTCTAATCATGTTATCCTTCACATAATCTATTTTTTCTTTTAAATGCCTTATCAAAAAAGAAGTATGGAACTATATGATTTTTATATTCAAGCACTGCTCTAAAAGCAATTTTTTTTTTATCTTTTTTCCTCTTTCAGACCTAGGTCTGGATCAGTTTGTAGTGAAGCGGTATGATGGAAAGGTGAGTAGACTTGAAATCTATAGTATCTTTTTACCTATAACCTCTTTGAGTTTCTATTTTAAAGTTGTGTGTAAGTACAAATGAAATACAATATTGTCTTTTGTTTGAGCTAGAACATAGCAGTATTTTTTTATTATATGGCTGAATAGGAAGGAAGGAATAAAGATTTGTTTTAATGCTTATAGAACCAAAATAACTCCTCCCTGCTGGTGGGAGAGGGAATTGTAATGTGTAAAAATCAAACTTAATAGCATTATCCATATGGTGTGAGACCCTCCATGTGAGGGAGTACCATATTTCAGAGGGAAACCTGCTATATGCTGATCATATTATAACATTGTTTGGTCTGCCTGTATGGATGGAACCACACAGTAACCTAGCCTTTTTACAGCTCTGAAGCCATATTCTTCCCTGCTGTAAATCCCCAGAAATCAATGAAATTATAGCACGAAGGAATTTGGCCCAGAGCTGTAACACAAGTAGGTAACATGGTTAAAAGACTGCTTGAACCTTTAACACAGAGAGGGCCAAGCTGTGTTATCTAAAACAAACACCTAACATAGATTTGCTTAGGTGGATAGTTAATCTAAAATAATTTGGTTTAATATTCCTTTATATCATTTTGAGCACTGTATACTACCATAGTTGGTGGCTGCATAAAAATGGAATAGCACACAAGCTTCCTATTAACTCAACTTACTCTACAACAATCACTAATTTAGCAAAATTGTCACCTCATCTGCAACAAAATTCCTTGAATTTTTGAGTCAAAGAAGGTAACGTTTGACTCTTTCATTGCTGAGTGATATACCTGGCATGTAATGTTTAAATGTGACCAAACATATCCAGAAAGTCCTGCTATTTGAATCTATAATTAAACAAAACAAACAAACCCTGCACAATTGGGGAGGAAATTAATCTAAATTACTTTCATGTTTTGCATTCAATTGAATTCATTTTTATTTTAATTTTTCATGAGGAAGTGGATGGACAAAAAGCAAAGCAAGTAATCAAATAAATGGTCTTTGTTCCTTAGAGCATACATGTGTTTGTTTACCCAAGCAGCAGAGTATTACACCTCTACCCCGATATAACGCGACCCGATATAACAGGAATTCAGATATAACACGGTAAAGCAGTGCTCCGGGGGGGCGGGGCTGCGCACTCCGGTGGATCAAAGCAAGTTCGATATAACGCGGTTTCACCTATAACGCGGTAAGATTTTTTGGCTCCCGAGGACAGCGTTATATCGAGGTAGAGGTGTATTCTACTTTAAAATAGACAGTAAGTAGTATGCTTTTTGTCAGTCTTTGTTTCAACCAACATTCCTTAGAAAGAAATGCTGAGTTCCACACAATTTTGGATAATAGTTCCTCTATTCCTGAGTACTATACATTCTATTCCCATCCTAGTGGGTAAAAGTCTCAGAGCAGAAGCAGTTTGTTTGCTGAACTCAGCTTTTTGTTCTGCTGAGCCTCATTGCTGGGATTCCCAGTTTGCGGGAAATTTAGTGATTTTGAAATTTGGGTTTGTTTAGATTTGAACAAATACAAACTATTCAAAATTTTCCATGAACCAGAAATTTTGGAAAAAAGGTTCATTTTGGAAACACCAACCTATGGTATTTCTAAAACAAAATCTGCTCCCTGGAACGTTGACAGCTGTGAGTGAAATTGACATTATTAGTCATACTAATAGATGTGGTGAAACTGACCAATCTGAATTTCACTCAGCAGCTGCCAGGGCTCTCAGGATCTATGAGTCCAGGGCAGCCACACTCTGTAGACGGCCATAGGACGCCAGATGGCTGGGGATACCAGACCATCCAGACTCCTGGGCCAGCTTGTCCCAGGACTTCAGACTCCCTGTTTCATGGGAAAGAGCTTGGAAGCACTGGCATAGTGCAACTGTCTTGGAGCTGCAGACCCCCTGAAGACCAGGTTCCCCAGTCTTGGGGCAGTCTGCGTGGTGAGGCTGCTCTGGAGCTCTGGAAGACAGGTCTCTCAAGCTGCCCAGCAGAATGCCCGGGGGATGGGGACACTAGTGTTTCCAGACTTTGATTTGCCAAAAGTTTGTTGAACCTGAGATGTTTCATAGAAACGCAAGAAATCGGCATTTTCCAACAAACTTAAGTCAGGAAATTTCAGACCAGTTCTACTTGAGACATGACTTCCGCTCTTACACAATATACACACCCAATCTTGCCATACAGCATGGTGAATGTGTGACAACTGGTGGTCTCAGTACAGGCTGAAATGTTCTGAGTTATGCTGGCCCTTAGCATCTGTTCCCTGCACTGACCATCCTCCATTCTGACTTTCTGTTGCAGACTGAAATTGTGTATATAAACACGTTTGTATAGCTGCTATACCTAGATATATATGCAAAATGCATTGGATGGTAGAATAAGTCTTAACATCAGTCATTAGAGTTTTAAAATGGAGAGTGTAGTGGACTACTATTAGTAGTAGTACTGTGCAGAACAACAGACCACATTAATTTTATGGTATTGTATTGCAGGGGTTGATATAGCATGCTGCTTCTGGATCATTTATTTTAAAGGAGGAAATAATGGCTCATGTTGTTTGTCAGACTTCTCTGACTAAGGAGCACTAGTAACAGACTTTGGTTATGAGGATAGTGGTAATGGCAGGGGGGGTCAAGTTTCGGGTGAAGTTAAAGCAGGGAGATATTGGAGCTCCCTCAGTCATGCAGAGGAGCCTGGATAAGGAGTGAAGTCACTCCTAGATCTTGTTTTCTAGGAGTAGTTTTTCCCATATTATCTGCATCTGTTTTCAGTTAAGAAAGCACTGTCGCCTCAAACGCATTCAAATGTTGATTCAGGCATCATATAACAAACTACACTCATTCATGTTTTAGTTACGTTGGTATCGGTTAAGGAATAAAATTAGTCCTCGCATCTTTTCTCATCTGTTGTTTCCATTCACTCATCTCCCTCATTGGCCTCCCAAGAAATATCAAAGCAGTTTTTATAATTGGACACAATCTTCTCCTTAGATACAGTTCTAACTCTGTGAAGCTATGACTTTGTGTGCTGGTATTATTTTGTGCATTGGTGGAGATGGGAAATTTGAGTAGAAGGCTGAGAGGTGTATTGTTCCCTTGAGCATCTTGCATGATGTCCATTAACGTTAATGGGAATTACAGTATATAGACACATTGAGGAGAGAATAGACTTTTTCCATCTGAAATGTATTCTTTCCTTTGAGATGAAAGGAGAAAATGAGCAGTCGGGTTTAAGTCAGCAGTGGTACCAAAGTACTGATACTCTGTAAACTACAGGTTGGCTAAACAAAAGTAGAAAATAGAACTATTGTTAGTTATAAACAAAGATTTATGCCTATGCTCTATGTAAATACTAATTTAGAGCAAACGCCAATAAAAAGAATAGACCCAGCTGTGTAGTCAGATGCATTTTAATTACATTCTGTAAAACAAAGGTTAAGGATTCAGTGTAAATGTTCTGCATGTATGTTCCAGATAAATATCATTGCACTGGGAAATCATCTGTATCAGCAGTTTTTTCACAAATATTCTTGTAAAATTAAAGTCAATCTTGTAAGGGTTGTCTACGCTGCAGCTGGCAGGTGTGATTCCCAGTGCAGATAGACTCGTGTTAGCTCATCTCGAGGTAGCATGCTAAAAATAGCAGTGTGGACACTGCAGCATGGGTGGCAGCCACCCAAGTTCAGACCCTGGGAGTTGGGCAGGCTTGAACTTGGATGGCTAGCCTGAGTCTTTGCAAGTGCTGCAGTGCAGTGAGTTAGCATGAATCTGTCAACTCGTGCTGGGAATCCCACCTCTTGACTGTAGTGTAGACATATCCTGATAGGCCACTTGGAATGACTGGAACTGGTTAAGTCCAAAAGTCTTTGACTTTTATTGCATGTATTTTATTGCAGCTCTGTGAAGTTTAAGTGTCTTCCTGTGCATAGAGCTGAATGTTATAGTGAGTGCAGTATACTTCTACCCAACTAGGGATAATTTTTCAGAGAATTGAAGGGCGGGGGAGAGAGACAAGCATAACTCTTCAGTAATAGGAGCAAAATGCATATAATTTGAATCTACACATTGCTCCCTGGAGACCAGAGACCAGCAGCCCTAGAGGCATTCGTTCAGCAAAACCCTTTGGTCCATCCTCCTTGCCAACCACAACTGCATAATTTTCTTTCACCTACAGCAGGGCTAAGTGTTCAGGGAGCTAGCCTCCCAAGTGTTTGTACAGGAACTGGAGAAGCTGGCTTGGTGACATGTGTGTGTATGTTCCCTCCCTCCCACCATCCCTCGTAAACTTTATTTCTTTTGGCTAATCTGCTGCTGCTAATCATTCACTTTTGCTCTCAGGCCTCACCTCATAATTTAGCTCAAATTACAATATGAATATAGCCTAATCTGTAATTTAATAAAAGCACTCAGAATTAACATATCTAACCATAACTGCTCAGTCACCTGGCTCTTTCGTTGTATCACTTTTCCCTTTCTTGTATTGTGTCTGTGTAAAACAAATGCTTATTGGGGGAGGAAATTTTTCCTGCCTGTAAAAAGTGTGTCTGTGGTTGTATGAAGGCACCAAGACATGCACTTTGTTAGCAGACCATTCCTAGAAACATGATATTTCTTTGAAAAACAATTTCCATTTTTTCTAACATTTTCTGTTTGAGAGAGTTTTTGAATTAAGCTCAAATTAATCTTCATGCCAAACTGCCAGCTCTCAAAGAGAAAAGTGTATGATACTATTTAACTCTGTGTAGTGTGCCCATAGGGTAGAAGATATCGGTCTACCCTATGACAAGGGCAAATCTTGCCCTGCTACCTGTGGGCAAGGAGGACCATTAACACAGCAGGATCAGTGGAATCCTAGTGTAATGGGACAGATTTGAGGAGTCAGCACAAGAGGGACAGCGTCAGTGGACATCCTTTCCAAAGATGTAGGGATTGTGATTTTTCAGATTAATTGTTTTGATCTTAAAATATTATTGAACTTTTGCAGAAGCATTTGAATTTCAATTACTTGTAGATTTTGTGCCGCAATCAAGTGTTTTCAGTGATAAGGCTAAATTGCGAGGTGTCCGGTGGCACTTTAAAGACTAATAGATTTATTTGGGCATAAGCTTTTGTGGGTAAAAAACCCACTTCTTCAGATGCATGGAGGCAAGGCTAAATTGCAACACTTCTGAGAAACTGTTAGTCTTTTTAGGGGAAAGAATTAAACAGAATATTGCTTTAGTGTGGAATACACTTGAGTAGCGGTTTTTACCTCCTGTGGGGAAAATTACCCTGTGTAGTTGAATATAAACAAAAGCTTGCAAGTTGTCAATGATGGTATACCCTTAAATTATCATTGACCCAAGGAGGCAATAAGTAATTACAAAAGCTTTTACAGACTCTAATTTTACTTTGGAATTAAGTAACTCCTATCCAGATTCATATTTCCATGTTCTCTATTCTCCAGATACAGTTCTATATTGATCAGTGCTATAGAAGTAAGACACCCTCTAATTAGTTACTCTCATGTGATAGGAAAGTTGCTTTTGGTATTAAACATTATAATTACTTGTAGTTATTCTAAGCACCCTTTCCAAGTACTGTATTGTGATGCTTTACAGGGAAATAATAATAAAATAAATTTGATGGTGAAATACCTGAAGTCTAACATTAGCTTTAGAAATATTGAGCAAATTTCTTGACCAAATCTTGAAGCAATAGTACTTACTGCTATGTAGGAGAAAATTCAACCTCCTAGCATGCAGCACTCCGTTATATCTGAAGAACCCCCATAAGTCTCACATGGAGAGGTCTCTATGCATCCTCTCATTTTATATTGGCAAGCAGTCATGCTTTTGCTGTGGTGGGAGGCATCAATCTCAGATAATCTCACCACTTTTTTTTAAATCAAACTTTATTTTGAAACATGTTTTGGTGTATGACTGCTATTGACTATGTATTTTCCTTCCTACCCCATATTTTGCCCTTCTCATTTCTGTCCTAACCTTGTAATATAATTGTTTGCTTTTTTGAAGCATTTTTATTTTTGTATTGGATTTTATAATGTTGTATAGTGCTTGAATCGGGGCTTCAGAGGGTGGGAAGTGGGAGAATAAAATAAAGAATTACGCAGCATCTGAAAGACATCAGCACCACAAAGAAACTGTCTCTTTCAGATCACATGTTCCAGGACCCAGATTAAATAGGATTAATATAATGAAGCGGTAGAATGAGTAACTTTAAATACAACAGGTAATGTTTTCAAAAGCCCTTAATGATAGGAGTCTAAGTCCCATTTTCAAAAGTAACTTATGCACTTAGTAGCCTAAGTCTCATTTAAAGTCACTTTTGAAAATGAGATTCCTAAATCGTCTAAGCACTTCTGATTAGAGTGATCTATATAAATGAATGAGTAGGTAGGCAACATGGTGTAGTGGATAGTGCATTGGTCTGGGTTCCTGACTCTGCCACTCACCGGCTGGGTGTCTGTCTACCTCGTGAAAGCAGCAAATTTTGCTCAGCCATCTGTGGGCAAGGAGGACCATCAACACAGCAGAATCAGTGGAATCCTATTGTGATGGGTCAGATAAGGTTAGAAAATTTGACTTAAAACATCAGTGGCACTGGCAGATATTTCTATCCTGCACTGTGCTTTTCTATCCTTACTGTAATTAACCTCATACTATTGTGTGTTCACAAGTTTTCTTCACTTGCCCCCTTACTTCCTTTCTCCCCTTCCATTCTCCAAAACCAAACCCCTAAACCCTTTTATTCTAACATTATGAATACTATTCTGTTTGATGCGCACATTGGTATAGACATGTCAGAAGACAAGGCCCTTCTCCTAAAATGCTTATGGGCCAAGTATCAAAGACCAATGCTTTTATACGCACAAATGACCACAACGTGCTTCTAGCTGGAGGAGCTGGTTATGTTTTGTTCAATAATCTTCAAGATCATTATCAATTTAGAGCCCTGAAATAAGCCAAAATTTGATGCCCTCTGAGCTGAATCAGTTAGTCATGTAGTTATAAGGTCTCCAGTTGATGTGGCCTTTGTGTATCTTGACCTGTGAATTCTCATGCTTTTACATGGTACTTGGAAGATGTATCCTTTCATTGAAATGTATGAATCTTTAGATTCAGGTATTATTTCAGTTTGTTTTTGTTTTAAAAAAATCTTTAAGGCTAAGAAAATGCTTGGTTGCTTATATTAAATTTTATATGCATGGCACACAAACAACCCTGTGGAATCCCTTATTATGAAGATTACTTTGCATCCATGTACAGGTCAAGTGTGTGCTCCCTCTTTCCTCTCCCACCCTATCCACCAACAGTCTGTGGCATAATTACTTTCTGCCAAAACTAGAAATATTTGCTATTACTTTTTTGTATTACTAACTTTGTTATTCATTTTCACTGGGTTTGTTTGGCAGATATTCTTGAATGTTACTGATTGCTATATGTGCTCCTTACTTCCTGTTCCTAGGTGTTGAGCGATTCTTTGTTCCTGATGTCATTAATTGGTTTTGCTGTGTTGCAATGTTGCATAATATGTAATATTTGTGGGTATTTTATTTTAATTTTGGTTTTGGTTTTTGGTGTAACCAACATTCCCTGATTTTCTTCCCTCTTTCTAACCCTCTCCCCTCTCATCAGGATTTCTGGCAGGTACTGACTTGTCAGCATGTGCTTTAAACAGTTTGTGCTTCAAAACCCATAATATGCACCTTTTTTGTAAAAAGGGACAGTGTATACTTCTGCCTTCCCCCACTCCCTTAAAGTATTTTTTAATTTGTCTCCTTTTTACTTAGCACATAAATAATATTTTTATCTCAAAATATTAAAATTTAAATCATGTCAATGAGAATACAGTCCCACGGGTAACTTTTTAATAAGTGTCGTTATTCATGGAAACTGATGATTTGGAAGAACCAGAAGATATTGGTATTCCTCAGTGGTTTGAGCATTGGCCTGCTAAACCCAGGGTTGTGAGTTCAATCCTTGAGGGAGCCATTTAGGGATCACAGCAGGGGGAATCTGTCAGGGACAGTACTTGGTCCTGGTATCTCCATCATATTATTATAAAATGTAGCTACAACATTAGCTAGACTAACTCATAAATTAGGGTTACCATATTTCAGCACGGAAAAAAGAGGACGGGAGGAGCCCCGCCCCCGTTCTGCCCTAGCCCCGCCCCTGTCCTGCATAGCCCCGCCCCTTCCACTCCCCGCCCCCCTCAGAACCCCAACCCTCCCCCTGCTCCTTGTCCCCTGACTGCCCCCTCCTGGGACCCCTGCCCGCCCCCTCCTGGGACCCCTGCCCCTAACTGCCCCCCAGGACTCCACCCCCTACCTAAGCCTCCCTGCTCCTTGTTCCCTGCCTGCCCCCTCCTGAGACCCTCCCCCCATCCTAACTGGCCTCCTAGGACCCTACCCCCTACCTGTACCCTAACTGCCCCAACCCTTATCCACACCCCCACCCCAGACAGACCCCCGGGACTCCCATGCCCCATCCAACCACTCCCCACCCCCTGATAGCCCCCCCCAGAACTCCCGACCCCATCTAAACCCCTCTGCTCCCTGTCCCCTGACTGCTCTGATCCCTCTCCCCACCCCTGCCCCCTGACAGACCCCCCAGAACTCCCAACCCCCCCCTCGCTCCTTGTCCCCTGACTGCCCCCTCCTGGGACCCCTGCTCCCAACTGCCCTCCAGAACCCCACCCCCTACCTAAGCCTCTCTGTTCCTTGTCCCCTAACTGCCCCCTCCTGAGACCCCCCACCCTAACTGCCCCCTCCTGAGACCCTACCCCCACCTGTACCCTGACTGCCCAAAACCTTATGCACACCTCCAGAAAGCCCCCCCCGAACTCCCGACCCCCCCCGCTCCCTGTCTCTTGACTGCCCCCTCCAGAATCTCCCTGCCCCTTCTCCAACCCCCTTACTCTGCCGCTCAGACCAGCGTGCCGGGGAGGAGGAGCAGGGGGAGGAGCTCCAGACTGCCGGTGCGAACGGCCGGCTGGTGATCTGCAAATGCAGGGAGGGAGGGAGCGATCTCTGCTGCAGGGGGAAGGAGGGGGTCTCTCTGGTTGTCGGAGCCCCATGTAAGTGGCGCCATCCGGCCGGCCGCCCTGTTAGCCGCGCGTGCTCTGCATGGGGGGGGAAGTCCGGACATTTACAAATTCCCCCCGGACGCTATTTTTAGCTCTAAAATCCGGACATGTCCGGGGGAATCCGGACGAATGGTAACCCTATCATAAATAAGACCACACTTTATAAAATTACTTATGGGAAAAGGAAATGACAGACAACAGAGAGCTGTTCTACTTAGCATGCGTGAAGAGAGACCCATACCCATAATAGGAATGAGCAGGTAGAACAAGAGAGTAATGGCATGCTTGGTATTCAGGTGGCAGCCAGCTACAGATTTCAAGGAGAGCCCTTCTGAGGTGAATTGGGAAGAACACTCCATTGAAGAGTGTTCTGTTGCTGAGTTACTATTTGTGCCTTATTAAAATGCATTCTTTGTGCCCTATATCGTTCTGATCTCAGTGGTACAGAAAGAGTTAGAGCAGCCTACCAACAAAAAATGTGTCTGATTTAAATGCAATTATCTGTGTTTAGGTTCTAACACTTGCATTTCCTAGTGTTTGAGTGAAGAGTTCTTGTTCATAGGGTCCCCAGAAAACAAAGTAGTCTCTCAGTACACTAGCTTACACTAGTCTGAAAGTGGGCTACATAAATTGCTGTGTGTAGGGACAGTGTGGTGACTTGCTTGAATAAATTAAGATTATGCTTTATGAAATAGGCACAACTGATTATATATATGATTACTTATCAGAAGGAGGAGAGTCTAGGTGACTTTAATTTCTAGCTTTAAGTTATTTTGTTCTGTTACTCAAGCCATCTAAACCAGCTGAGTTATCAAGCCCCTGAATCAAGTGTTAAGGAGGAAATTTTGTCAACCCCTTAGCAATGCTAATGAGCGTTGTACTGATATAACTGTATTTCAGTTATAATTTATTAAGCTGGAGACTTCTTACCCTAAAATAAATAAATAAATAAATATAAATTAATGGAGATATCCCATCTCCTAGAACTGCAAGGGACCTTGAAAGGTCATCGAGTCCAGTCCCCTGCCTTCACTAGCAGGACCAAGTACTGATTTTGCCCCAGATCCCTAAGTGGCCCCCTCAAGGATTGAACTCACAACCCTGGGTTTAGCAGGCCAATGCTCAAACCACTGAGCTATCCCTCCCCCCTAATAAGTTTAGCTTTTCATTTATAGGTGGAGCTGATACTGCCCCCTGTAGTTAAGATTGCTTGACATTTTCCATTCTTTTCAGTGGCTTATAACTTTGCCGAACTAACCATTCCGGTGGGATGCCTCAGGCTTCTCCCTCTTCTTCTATTTTTTTTTTTTTTTTTTTTTTTTTTAAGTTTCTGCTAAAACCATTGAGCTGTTTCTGAGAACAAGACTGGGGGAAATATGTTGTTTAATGTTAAAAAAAACTTCTTCCAGCCGTTTCACTAACAAGCTCTCGCACCTACATGCTTTGGAACAAGGGCCTGAAATCTGGCAGGTGTGTTGCCCTGGATAGGCCTTTTGTCATCTCTGTGAAAATTTGCTAAAACTTGGCCAAGTAACAAGCTTCGAAAATTCTCAGTTTGCACATACTCAGTAGAGATTTGTTAGCGTTTGGCTACTAAATTCTCCAAAGATGCCATCGGCACTGAGCATGCTCCATCCTGGACCTTCATAGGTTGAGCAGGACTCTAGGTTGCTCCTCCAGGTTGCTGAGGGCTGCTGTGGTGCAGGCACAGGAACTGAGAACAGGGAGAGACTCACCTGTGTTCTCCTTGCCTGGCCCAAAGCTGCATTGAGGAGGAGGAGGAGGAAGCAGCTTGGTTTGAATATAGAGGACAGTGGAGAAGAGGGAGAATTGGAGCAGGATGTTGGAGTGGGCGGCAGGAGAAAGAGGGGGAGAGGATTGAGCAGAGCAGGAGCTAGTGTGTGTGTGTGTGTGTGTGTGTGTGTGTGTGTGTGTGTGTGTGTGGAGGTGTTTGTGCAGATGTTCAGTTTTATTAAGTGCAGAAGGGAAGTGATCTGGATGTGGAGATGTGTGGTTTTCCTAGAAAGCAGGGAGGAGGGTTGCGTACTGGGAGCCAGGTGACGATTTTGGGTTTTAATAGAAGCAAGGGTGCAATAGATAGGAAGAGGGGCACAGATCCCCACCCTCCAGACATAAACACTACTACAAATTCAGGATCCTGGTCTTTCAGGTGGTAATGGAAGGACAGAGCCGCCCAGAGGATTCAGGGGGCCTGGGGCAAAGCGGGGGAGCTTGTACTCACCGGGCGGCGCTCCGAGTCTGCGGCAGTGGCATTTCGGTGGCGGGGGGCCCTTCAGTCGCTCCGGGTCTTCGGCAGCATTTCGGCGGCGGGGGGGCCCTTCAGTGCTGCCGAAGACACGGAGCGACTGAAGGGCCCCCCACGGCCGCAATGCCGCCGCCGCCGCAGACTCGGAGCACCGCCGGGTGAGGAAAGGGATTCTTGGCCAGGGCTTGCGGGGCCTGGGGCAAATTGCCCCACTTGGCCCCCCTCTGGGCGGCCCTGTGGAAGGGGGCAGAGTTCTGAGCATGTAATAATACACAAACCAGATCCAGGCTGCCTGCTTCCTGGAACCGAATTGGTGACTGGGGAATCACCAACACAACCAGAGTTCGGGGCAGAGGCTGCAACGAGTCTGCCTAGCCCTGCCTGTGGCTGTCTAGGGCTCAAGCCTCTCCAGAGTTGTATCCTGCATGGGATTGCAGAGACATAGCTTGGTCCCTCCCACAGATGGACAGCTCCATGGAGCAGGCATTGGGCACATGGTTATGTGCTCTGGGCCCTACTCATGGCTGCCCTGGCCCAGCACGTGGAGCCACTGAACGAGGCTAGGCTGCTGAGCTTCTTCTGCTGTTGCGAGGATGGCAAATTCTGCAATGCAGAGTTGCTGGAGCAATACAGTCAATCTTCTCATCTAGCGTGGGGACCTCTGGGATAAGTGGGATGAGCCCTGGACTGATGGGAGCTCAAGGAGATGATGGCTCCTAAAAGGTGAAGCTCCTGTATCTCTGTGCAATGGGTGGAGCTTCATCTGTGCCTCTGGAGATGGGGGTGCCCACTATGTACCACTGAGCCCCCTCCATACCAGGCACAGAGGGGTCCTGGCCACTGCCCCAGAAATGCTGGCCACAAAATCTCTCCGAATGAGAATTTCAGGAACATCTGACAATCCCAGGGAGACTCTCTCATGCTCTGCCTCCCAATTACATGCTGGGCCCCAGGGAGACCTCTCCCTCAAATCACCACCCCCTAGATCACCGCCTTAGGAAAATTCTGGTTGAGCCCCTGGAGGAGACGCATGGGAACAAGGGGAATGGCAGAGGTTGGATAAGAGGAGATGGGGACAGAGACAAGCTTGGGGGCACAGGCAGAAGGTTTTAGAGTGCACTCTCTCCTCCAGAGCCTGCAGTTGAATCCAGGAGTCTTGAATCGCTACATTCCTCTGCTGTCAGCAAATAGCTGTGAAATCCACTGGTAAAGGAAATTACATTTAAAAAACTGTTAAACGAATGTTAAAGTGGCAAAGTCAAGCATGCAAAAGCTAGCAAATGCCAGAATTAA